GTTGTGTCATAACCAGCCAGCCGCAGGCCAACATCTCAGACACTTTGGGGTGTCTAAAATGGCTCAAAACACCTATTTGTAGGCACTGGGTACCTACGTAGCCTCTCCACACCATGGCTCTGCTTTGGCACCGCAGATTCCCTGCACCCAGACAGCAGCACAAGCAGCACGTGCACTGACTTGGGGACAGTAATTAATCTTTCTAATATTTCCACCACCAAGTGAAGATGTTAAGCTATGAGGCAGCTCATTGTTTTCTCTGAGTCCGAATTCAACGATGTGATGGCGCTAATTCTTAAGCCTCACCTAATACCACTAATTCCTACCAAATTTCTAGCGCAGTCAGGAAAAATTGATTTAAAAGTTGTCATTTGCACAGAATGCAATTCAGCGTATTTCCGAGCCGTGCCTAAGGCACAGCTGCAGAGGCCACTGAACAGAGGGAGATCGTCTCAGGATGGGTCGAGGTGCCTTAACAGAGCAGGTTTCTGATGACAGCATTACAGTTTCCACCCGTTTTATCTCCCACCTACAGAACATTGAATGTCTTGATCCTTTAAGATCTTTCACAACATGTGGAGAATTAGGTTTAATTATAGCTTTAAAAGGCGGCGTTTGAAAACTAGAATCCCTGTATTTAGAGCACTTGCGTGAGGTCCTCTGTTCGACTCTGTTACACTTGCACAAAGCACGTCGCGGTGTGCTCGGCAGAAGCCACGGATGGGTAAAGTCACACCATAAACATCCTTCATCCTAGAGAAGGGATGTCGAACACCCCTCACCGACGCGTTAATGAAACAAATAAGAACTGAGAAAATAAGCGTGAGATTTGGCAGGTTATGCCTTGGTCAGGGATAATGACCGGCTGTTTCCTTTGCCTGTAAAAAAAAAAAAAAAAAAAAAGAGGAGAACAGAGAGAACAGGAAAAATATATGGAAATCATACTACCCTATCTCTTTTGTATTCAGGCCTAGGGTAGGTACAAAAAATTACCCGTCCTGAAGAGTTTGATGGGAGAAAAAAAATCCTCACTGAAAAATATCATTAATCTGTTACAAAATTAATACTGCCAAATAATTAACTTCCCCCTAATGATGCTGCTTCTTGAAACACCTTGTATGTTCACACACTTACATCGACTTTAATGAATAATTCAAACTATTTTGGATAAATAAATAAAATATGAGTTGGGCTTTTTTGGTTTCATATTGAAAATGTCACTGCTTTTTATTCCATTGCTTTTACACTCCTTACATCTGAAAATGTTCACAGCTGCCTGGAAATACCACAGCTTTGGCTCTTGCTCCGAGTTCAGCTAGGTCAATCAATAGCAATAGCAGTCCCTCCACCAAAGAAAACCAAATCCACACTTAACCTTTATCCCCAG